GTTTGTTCTCAAGCTGATATAGAAATATTGCTTGCTTCAAATATAGGTTGGTGTTTTATCATTGTCTCGATGCTTAACGGAATGTATATAAATGATTGATAAAGAGTGATCGATTTTAATACTTGGTTTTGGATCTGGATTCACAAGAGTTGCAATAAATAGGTACAATAAAACTATTCTCAGTGACAATAATAACTGTATTCTAAAATTGCAGATACTTAAGGACAGTATAAAAATAGACATTGTTAATAAGTATTTAAAAGTTTTGGGTAGTCTTATCCATTAAACAATCTGCTTTTTGAAAAGTTACCTAACCTGAAAACGGCAGAGAAAACCTCGTAATTTTGCACTACGAGTTCGTCACTACGGTAGAATTACTGTTTGCATTAAATTCTGGCGAACAGTAGTAAATTTGTGGGGCAGCAATAGTGCAATACACTCTTGAGAAGCTATAAACCTTTCGAGGAAGCCTATAAGTCTGGTCGTAAGTTAGGTACTTCGTCTCCTACAGGCGCAGGCGGTGTGAGCGCACAAACTTCGCTGTTAATGTGTAGATGGAATGATTTAATTGTTGGATTCCTGCAAACAGGAGTTTATAATGGTCAAGTCAGTTCTACCAAAATTAGATTTGATGATTTCGTAATTTTGTTTTTTTTGAAGTGATAACTTCTTTAGCGGCGTCGTACACTTTTTTTTTGTATGGGTCAAAAATGTTAAACTCGCTTCAGGTTAAACACGTGGGCTGATCGCATCATAACACACAATAAAATTGGAAAGGTTGTTGACTTTAAATATATTGGACGAAACATAGTAATATTTTATTTTACCGTATTATAATAATAAGTCTCTATCTAGGACGTCCACGTGGCAGGTTTATTGCGAAGAAAATGCATTTTTTTACAATAGATGTTGCTAGGTGCACTTAAATGTGATACATGTAAGTTGATTCTTCTGAGAGATAAACTTTTTTAATGTAATATAAATTGTCATGTTTGTGTACGATATCGCAATAAATAAATATTGTATTCTACCACATACATGATAGTACTTTTATACTGATAATTAAAGCAATTCGTGCAAAATTATTCCCTAACCATTCCAAAATATCAAAAATGCACAACGTTAATATTCAAGTTTTCACCTCTGCCGGCACTCCCGGAGTGCAACCCGTCTTTTTTTTTATTGTTAAAGGGTGGCATACAATCTCATGGCCTACCTGATGGTAAGCGGCCACCGCAGCCTATAGGCGCTTGCAATACCAAAAATATCACTCGCACCGTGGCCTACCCTGACTCAATCCCCTACCCCGTGAAGACCTGGAACTTTATCCACCGACAGAAACATAAAGCCACCAAAAGGAAATGATATTTTACTGTGATCTTGCGTAAGTTGGGGGTTCTTCCCCAGACGGGTGCTTAAACTCTATACTACCCCTCTCTTGGTGCAGCATATAGGAATAATATTTGATAAATGGTAATTTTTTTAAAAATTAGATTGACTTACCGTAGGGCTACTTGGAAATGCATCAGGAGGTGATAGATAATTTTAATCTATCTCCTAATACTACGGAGTAGTGTAAGTCACTGAAAACGATATAATTATCATCTATTTTACGACCAGATTAAGACCACACGTAAAGCATCTTAGTATCTGTATTCCTATTAGCTACCACGCAATGCAAACAATAAAATAAAGGAATAAAAGGCTAAAGATCAATAACGATTTTCTTGTGTGATCCTGATTTAGCTCTGTAAATTATCAAACATGATGTTGTAGACCGGCAGTTGTATGCTAATTTACATAGTATTATACTAGCTGACTCGGTGAACTTCGTACCGCCCAAAAGTAATAATTTGCAATAAATTAAAATTGCGACTATAATTTGAGATTTAAACTATCCTATCTCTCAAGTTGGATCGAACTGCACATGGTGTGCGAATTTTATTATAATCGGTTCAGTGGTTTAGGAGTCCATTGAGGACAAACATTGTGACACGAGATTTATATATATTAAGATTTATCACCACGTGAAAAACAGTAATTTTATACGGAAGTGCAATATGTTAGCACTTATGTTATTCGGTTTATTTATATAAAAAGCGAAGTCAGTTGCACATTTAGAGTAGGTCCTGACAAAATTCTACTTTCTTAACATGTACGAATCGCCGTACAACCTTGTGCATCATCGATTCTATATGTTCTATAAGTACCCAAAGTGTGTCATCATCATCAATTAATGTCTTCACTGTGAGCATTGCCCTAAGGCACAGGGTTTCCATATGGATGAAAAAGAGAGAAAGGGCCATGACCCACCACATCCTTTGACTGCAATATAAATAAATAAATAAATATTTCCAACACTCACACCAATTAGCCTAGCCCCAAAGTAAGCACTGTAAAGGCTTGTGTTATGGGATACTAGGGTAACGGATAGAATACATATATTGTACATATATAAGTATATTTATATGAAATACATATTAAACATCCATGACTGGAGTACAAATGCTCGTATTCATCACACAAACATCTGCCCCCACCGGGATTCGAACCCGGGACCTCTCGAGTCGGCGACGCCATGAAACCCGGCGTATAAACCACTCGGCCACGGAGGTCGTCAAATATGAGAAAGTTGTTAAAATTCCATTATAGCAGACCATGACTAAGCCTCTGATGTGTGTGTGTTTTCATTTGTCTATCTGACAGCATTTTAAGATTTCTAGGGTAGGTACACAAGCACATTACACATTTCAATAATGTTATCGATAAAGCAGTACCTTCCCAATGCAGACAATTTCACCAGACCCCGGATTCCGAACATTTCGCAAAGTTTCACATACGATACGATTCGGGACATTCGTAGATTCCGAACGGTTGAAGCAATAAAGCTGGCGGGCGGGCCTATAAGTCTAGTCATAAGTCAGACCGAGGCCCGCGCCTATGCCTCGTATATCTACCACGAACCGCAGCCACTGTTCGGCGACGTTAGCTAACAATTAAGCCTACATAATGAACACGTGAACGTTAATGCTGGAATAATTGGTACCGAAATAGATTTATCAATTAATTTGTGGATAGGCACATCTACTAACAATTTGTCGAAATAAATATACACACAAGTTGATTACAAATGTGGGATTCAGAAAAAGATATAAATCACTTTTGTTGAAACCGAGAGTTGAGCGTGGGCCGATTTGTATTTTGTTTTTACTTGATAGACTAATTAGTTTCTTAGATTTTCACGCACATCACTCATTAAAAAAACTAGTATTTACGGGTTAATGTATTAAATTTATTTATTTATTGACGTTTCGCAGCCTTTTCAGATCTGCATCGTCAGAATAATGATTTTTTATTTACTTTGTCGAGTTACCTTCGAAAGACTTACTGAGCTTTCGGATATTTCATTGGACATAGGCGCGAAAATAAGTCTGTAGTGTGTGAACATGCATTAGGGGGACCAAACCATTACATTAGATTTGATAAGTAAACACTATGTAGAAATCGATGGATACAGGATCTGACTCCATCCTCACCCGCTGTTAAGTTTTGTAACCTCCTCACACTAATATTATAAAGGCAAAAGTTTGTGAGTGTGTATGTTTGTTACTTCTTTACGTCTAAACGGCTGGAGCGATTTGAATAAAATTTGGTATGGAATAACACATAGGCTACATTTTACTGCTGGAAAATATCCCTAATAAACCGCGGGTACCACCGCGGTGTACAGCTAGTTGACAATAATGCTAATACTATATAAGTAATAACATTATTTGGCTGTTTGTCTTCTATTGGGTAGCGCTTTCGGCATGGTCGCGGAAGATAAACAACTTTCACAATAGTCAGTAATAAGCTTGGCGACCCAAAAATTATTAGCTTGAGCTCCTCCGTCTTTCGTGAGGCATGTTAAGCCATTGCTCCCGGCTGTATCTGCAGTACAATGACCGAACATTGCGAAAGTTACTTAACTTTCAATATCGCCGAACGCGCTAACCCTGCGCCATCTCTGACTAATACCTAAATATAAGTAATCATAATCATCAGTCATTCATATTGGGGGTTGAATCTCCGATTTTAAGTCTCTAGCCTTACAAGAATCTGAGATAGGTACTGACCTATGACGGTGAGGTTGTAGCGAAAGCTGATGGTTTGCGTGTTGCGGAAGTCGACGCGGCATCTATAGACGACCTCCGTGGCCGAGTGGTTTGTACGTTCATGGTGTCGCCGACTCGAGAGGTCCCGGATTCGAATCCCGGTGGGAGCAGATATTTGTGTGATGAATACGAGCATTTGTACTCCAATCATGGATGTTTAATATGTATTTCTATATAAATATACTTTTAAATGTACTGTATATGTATTCTATCCGTTACCCTAGTCTCCCATAACACAATATTTATTATTATAGACCCTTTCGTCGCGGCGCTTGTCGTCACGGGTGAGCTGAGCCGCCGGGTGAGATGAAGACACTGATTCAAATGGAAAACCAGGGTCTCCAGCCTTACAAAAATTTGAGGTACTGACCTACGTCATTGAGGTTGTAGCGAAAGCTGGTAGTTTGCGTATTGCGGAAGTCACGTGGCATCTATAGACCCCTTCGTCGCGTCGCTTGACGTCCCCTACGAGCAGAGCCGCGTGCGGGTGTGAGGCAGTGACACCGATTCAAATGGAAAACCAGCGTCTCTAGCCTTACAGAAATCTGAGGTACTGACCTACGGCGGTGAGGTTGTAGCAAAAGCTGGTAGATTGCGTGTTGCGGAAGTCCACGCAGCATCTAAAGCCCCTTCGTCGCGGTGCTTGACGTCACACATAGGCAGCGCCGCGCAACACGCAAACCACAAGGGTTTGCGTTTTGCGAAAGTCGACGCGGCGTCTATAGACCCTTTCGTCGCGGTGCTTAACGTCACACATAGGCAGTGCCGCGGGCGAGGATGAGATGAAGACACCGATTTAAATGGAAAACCAGTATCTCTAGCCTTACAAAAATCTGAGGTACTCACCTACGACGGTGAGGTTGTAGCGAAAGCTTGTGGTTTGCGTGTTGCGAAAGTCGACACGGCATCTATAGACGCCTTCGTCGCGGCGCTTCACGTCACGCACGAGAAGCGCCGCGGGCGGAGGTGAGGTGGAGAAGTGCGCGCGGGGGCCGAACACCTCCGGCGCGGACCAGTGGCGCGCTTCTGACAGGTGCTTGCCGCGGACGTCGAAGCTGTAACAATGAATTGATATTTTAATAAAAATGCACCTAAGTGCGCTGTACACAGTATTAGCTATTAGAATAATAGCTATTCTACTAACGATGCTAATGTATACGGTATTGGTAAAGAGAAGTATAAATTTATAGACGAAAAGTGAGTAAGTAAATAAGTAAAGACGTTTTCCCGCTCGTATTGGAGCGCCCGTCAAGGAATGTAACCTTCACTTTACACAGTTAAATAACACTATCTTTTTGTTGCTACCAGGACTCCACAGGGTAGGGACTTGGGTCAAGGTAGGCAACGATGCAAGTGATATTTTGGTATCGCAAGCATGTATACTCTATAGGCAATAGTAGCCGCTTACAATGAGGCGAGTCATACGTTGATTTGCCACCATTTTATCATAAAAAAGTATCTAGCAAATGTGGGCTCTCTCTTTTTTAATTGCCTTCCCCACTCCGGTGTCTACACTACTCTACCTCTGCTGTTTACGCTTATTTTATATTTTGTTTAATTAAAAAAATATATAAAGAGGTAAAGGAAAAGAACGAATATTCTTAAGACATCAATAAAATGCTTTACACCTGCATTCCAATGACAAAAAATAAAAGAAAGAAATAATTAACTATTTTGTCTGTATATGCTACGCTTTCGGTTTCGATAATCGGCACGATTTTTGCTATATAAACTTTTTATATTATTATCTTATCTTAATTCTAGAAGCATAGGAAGATAAGCAAAACTTATTAATATCCGTTTGCCGTTATAAATACAATTCATTAAAATGATTAGATGAAAGTTTCATAAAATTTTACTAAGTTTGTATATACTATATTATTATTCTAATTTTAATCGAAGTTTCTAGATTGCTACAATAATTATAATTTCATAGACGTACGAAAATATGTGGTTAAAATTCGTCGAATGAAAAATGTAGACCGGGATAAAAACACAAAAAAGAAATTAAATAGCAACGCGTTCAACATTATACGGTGCTGGAATGAGACAGGAGTCGGGAATCGCCAAGAACTTGAAAAGAGAAAAGATTGGAAACCCCGCAATTGTACAGAATACAAAAACCCGGTTGAGAATAAAACACAACACGAGACTGCACTTTTTTCTATCCACCTCTTTTGTAGTTTTTTATATTGCACGATTTTATATTAACAAGACGAACGATATAATTTTATTTCTGATCAAGTATGTATACCAGAGGGCATTGATTTCAGGAAAAGCAAAAAAAACGGTATAACGCTATACATGATTGAACACTCCGAATTGTTGACCGAAAAAACCGAAATATAAATCACGAGATAAATAGACGAAAGCCAAAAAAACAGAAATTTTGAGCTGTCTAAGAAAGACAGCTAAAAATTTCAAAAGTTGAAAAGTTCATCGTATACAACTCAAACCCACTGACAAGTAGACGGACAGGAGGTCAACGAAGGCTTAATAATAGTTACCCTATTACCATTGGGGCTCCGGACTTTTCAGGTCCAGACTCCTATAAACGGGAAGCTTCTGGCTGCCTGCGCAACGAAATTTTAAAACGGACAAAAATATTTGTCAGTGGCAGGCGTGCATCGGGAGCGCGATTGCCGCAAACCGCACGTCACCGCCGACGCGTCGAGTCGGGCCACGCCGCGAGCGAATAAAAATTTATATCGCTTTCCTCTTGTCAAAATATACCTACCTGCTATGGTTTTTTTTATTTTGGGTCACAGTTCCCTCTCCAAATGGTATAAAATGATAGCAATGCATGGCGTGCAGATTAATCAGACGAACTCAGCGAAGCGAAGCATCGTCTCTCATATGTTGTAGAGAGGTCCAGCGAATGGCTATCCATCATCATTATGTCCTGCGCAGACGAGGGACTTTTATCCATGGAGTATGAAGTCCCTGAATCGTAAAAAATGTCCGCCGAGGACTTGTCATGGACTCAACGCACACGGTGTGCGAACATTTGTTGCCCGGACATTTAGAGAAGCGCACACTATGGAAGTACATATAAGATTACGTTGTATTGTAATTAACATGAAGTTTAAGAAAAGACAAGACGTTTTATATTTTTCGGGGACACCACCTTATTTTTTCCTACTCCGGTCTCTTCTTCTTCAAGGTGGGTATTCTAGGCAACTCGACATCAGGTGCCTATTTTGTGTGAATGGATGACTTCAGTTATGCCATCCCAGGTCCTCCAAGAATCTCAATAATCTATTGATGTCTTTACAGGTCTCGAGAAGCGTTTGCGGGCTACCCAGGTGTATCATCTGTTGTCTAGCTACGCCTCTGAATTGTAGCAGGACATGAGTTCTCGTCTCCTTCTCATCCATGCAGTGTATACTAATAATTAAGCCAGTCATGGTAGTTGAGTAACATAAGGTATGAAGTGAAACAAACCTCATTTCGCCCTCGGTGTGGCCCGCGATCAAAACTTGTGCCACGGCACCGACACAAGTTGCAGCGTTCGCATTTCGCAGGCTATATTTCATTATATGTACTGTCATACATGAAGATAGCCCATTGACGAGTGACGCGGATGTAGCCGCGTGGATGGAGTTCGAACGGGGAAACTTTATTGATGGCTGTACTGATATAAGCAAGCATTGTGCACCTCTTTGTGTAACTCTGACATAAATGAGGAGCGTTAGAATTGCGATTAGTTAGTTGTAACGTAACGCATGTGAATACGGCGGATACACGTATAGAGGTTGAACAACAACAATGATCGATTTTTAAAATATATCTACTAACTTATCAGTTAATCTAAAATGATGAAACAAAACATGATATTAGTATTATTACTAGCAAACCAGTGAACCAAATGTTCACCAAAACCTGATTTAAAAAAAATGTATTTAATTAATTGAGAAATTCGTGATTTCTCGAAAACCGGAAGTGCTACGTTACTCAAATCCGGATTGTAGTCTTATCAGACTATTCTTAACTTATAACTTAAATATTCTCTTTATCTATCTCTTACGGTTTGGCCGCTGAAATAGCACCACAGACAGACGGACGGACGGACTTGTCTAATAGATAAGAGATACGGTTTCTAATTAGCGTGACAAGTAAGTCCCTTAAACCTCACTGAAATTGAATTAACCCGTATTTGGGTGCACGAAAGATATTACTCGCATTCGAGCGTACGATGCAATAGTTACATTGTTTTACTCACAGCAACCGATCCTGCACCCGCGTTATTGTCGAAATGTACCTCAGTCATGCCAGATTGGGGGGAACCAAAATGAATACGGGAGTACTCGACTCCGTTCATTTACACTAAGGTCCGTAATACAGAATGACAAATAAGTGTTGATCTTTACTTAAGTACAGTTAGAAAGGGATATCGCTATGTGCTATATATAGCGACATCCCTTTCTAACTATGCTCAAGACTAGATCAATCACTGAGAATCTTTCTATAATACGGGCCTTAGTCGTTAGTCTAAATTCCATAGGCAATCGTATTATATATTATTGGGGCATTTAACTGCTAGTTGTTTAAATCTAAAAAAAAATTTACTAGAAAAAAATGTGGGTTACTTACAATGCGAATAGATGGCGCTGCTTTGTAGCCTAAGAAATACTAAAAAGAATTGGACATGGCCGTTAGGGTCGCGATAGCAAAATAGTCATTGCATCCGCCCCGACAGCAGAGGGTGCGGGTTCGAGACCCGTCTGCTGCCTGATCCGCGTGGAATTATTTCTAGTAAAATTTTCTTCAACTAAGCACTTGCTAAATACAACCTAATTACATTTTTGAGTAATTATTTACTTTACGCCTCTTTAGTAGAGTCTAAAATAGCCTCAGTAAACGGTCAATTTTTATTCGTTTTATTTTCTTTAATTAGTTGATCAATTTTTCATATTTTATATTCACATTTTTAAGTAGCGATAAAATTGTAGTTAATTACCATAATACCAATTTAAACAATTCATAAAGTTGTACTTTATTTTTAGATGTTTTAAATCTCTTACGGTAAAGCTCTTATTAGAAAATGAGATAATTTTGCAATTTCACTCGGCGAACAACTTCAAAAAATTAAGTTAAGTGCTTGACGACTTGTAGTTAATTCTAATAAACCTCCACTCCTCACTGAGTAAGCCTTTTAAGTAAAAATTGGTTTAATGAAATCGCTGTTCGTTTTGTGCTCGCAACAAAGAGCCTCAAATTTATCAATGACTTTCAGCCGACTATTTTTGGTAGATTTTAGCATAATAGCTTTGTGCGATGAGTTGGTTGAATAAAAAAATCATATTTTTCCATAGTTCGAACAGAAAATATGAAAAAGTTTTATTGCTGTATGAACGTATGTTCATGTGGTATTTAATCTGAACATAAAATAAAATAAATTAAATTCTATATTGTTGTGGATATCAAATGTACTTATTGGTAGCAAATGCAAGACAAAGTATCATCCCATTATTATAATATTATAAATTTGAAAGTTTATATGTAAATTACTTAAACACCCAGAAACCACTAAAAGGATTTGGGTGAAATTTGGTACGCATGTGGTTTATGACCCTTTTTTTTATAACGCAGGTAAAAAATCTTTTTTACAGACGACGGTGCCTTTAAGAGGCCCACCGACGAACGGACCTCGTACCTGGCTCCCGCAAGTCTTACGGAACCCCCAGTGGCTGCCCACCGAGGACCCTGCAACTCTTACGGGCGCTTTACGGCATAATATCCGCTAAAAAAGTCCTGAGAATACCTTAAACACTGCTAAATTCGAAGCCGCGGGGTCCCCGTTAGGGATTCTACCACGACATGTGGTTTATGACCTGGATTGACCCAAAGGATACTTTTCATCCCGGAAAAAAAACAGGTTCCTATTAGATTCTCAAAAAATTATAGTAGTGAACAATAAATAACGAAAAATAATGCTAGACTAAAATAATTACAATAGCTCGAGAATTTACCTAATAATGTTTCATAATTGAAATCGAGTCCATTATTTGTAATAGATCAATTTCAATTATAGAAACTTTCACTATCCAGTTTA